TGCCTCTGCCTCCCGAGTGCTGGGATTAAAGGCATGCACCACCACGCCCGGCATCTCAAATATTTTTTAAAAAAAGGGCTGGAGAGATGGCTCAGGGGTTAAGAGCACTGGCTGTTCTTGCATAAGACCTGGGTTCTTAGCACCTACATGGTGGCTAACAACAGTCTGTAAGTCCAGTTCCAAAGGATCCGATGCCCTCTTCTGACTTCCACAGGCATTGCATGACATACATGCAGGCCTTACATCCATACATATAAAAATAATAAAATATATAAAAATGAATAAAAATTTTAAAGAAAACCCGAAATTGTTTGGTTTTGGTATAAGGATTGAACTCAGGGCCTTGAGCATGCTAGGTAAACATTCAATCACTGAGCCATAGCCTTGGCTTCCTTCCCCATCCACCCATCCATCCATCCATCCATCCAATTTTGAGACAGGGTCTCATTAAATTGGTTTTGAGCTCCTGCCTCAGTATCTGAAGTAGCTGGGATATAAGCCTGAGTCATGAGGCTGTTTAAAAGAAAACACCGGGACCAGCAAGATGGTTCAGCAGGTAAAAATGCTTGTCACCAAGCCTGAGAGCCTAAGTTCCATCCTCAGAACCCACATGATGGAAGGCAAGAATTTAGTCTTGTAAGTTGTCTCCTGACCTGCACACATAGCCATGGCACATTTACACCCACATATACCCTACAAAATAAGTTAACAGACTTATTTTGGCCTGGTGAACACTAGGCAGGGGCTCTACCAGTGAGCTCCATTCTAGCTCTAAATCAACAAATGTAAGAAAAATTCTTGAGCAAACTTCAAGCTTCACTTCTTTTCTTTTTTTTTTTTTTGAGAGAGAGAGAAAGAGAGAGAGAGAGAGAGAGAGAGAGAGAGAGAGAGACTGACTGTGTGCGTCTGTGTGTGTGCGCACAGATGTGGAGGCCAGAGGCCAACCTCAGGTGCTTGTTCCTCAGGATAGCTATCCCTCTTATCTTTTTTTCTTAAATATTTATTTATTTAGTGATGGGGCAGCACCCATAGGTCAGGCCATATGTGTGAAGGTCAGGGCAACCTCTGAGTTGGTTCTCTCCTTCCACATGTGGATCCCTGGAACCAAATTCAGGTTGTCAGGCTTGGCAGGAAGTGCCTTTACCTACTGAGCCATCTCATTTGCACATGTGTTCATGTCAGAGGTTAATGCTGGATGCTGTCTTTGATTACTCTCTGCTTTATTTACTGAGGCTGGATGTCATGCTGAACCCAGAATTCAGCAATTTGGCAGTCTAGCTAGCCAGCTTGCCATGGAATCCAATTTCTACTTTCCAAGTTCTGAGATTATCAGCAGAATGCCACATTGACCCACCTTTAAAAAAAAAAAGATAGAGTCTCACTGTTGTAGCCTGTCCAGCCTGGAACTCCCTATAATAGTGTGGGCTGGCCCCAAACTTAGATCTGCCTGCCTCTGTCTCCCAAGTACTGGGGCTAAAGGTACATGCCACCATGTCCAACCCATCCAGCTTTTTAATATAGGTGCTGGGGGATCCATGCTTGGACAACAAGCTCTTTATTTATCTCTCTATGAGTCATCTCCCTTGCAGCTCACCTTGGTTTTTTTTTTTTTTTTTTTTTTTTTTTTGTTTTTTTTTTGGTCTTTTTGAGACAGGGTCTTCCTGTAGCCCCAGCTGGCCTGGAAC